GCTCTAAAGACCAACGCATCACTCACTACCCACAGTCACCCTTGGGTGCAGTTGCAGGTTGAGCCGTGCTGAAGCTGGAGAGCCCAAGCACTCCCACATGGGCCTGGGCTCTGTTCAGGCAAGGCACATATGGGGATAGTCTTGCTAGATCCCAACCCACCAGTGGCTGTTGCAGGACTTTACCAAATACTCCTAAAAGGGCTTAACAGCTTCTTTATGGCAATGGACTGTGGGAAATGTCTGTGGCTTAGTAGCTGGGGCTTTCTAAGCTAAGCTGCAGGCAGACACCAACTGGGCTATATCCAGCCACACAGACAGATGAACAGGAGCTTTTTTGGTCTTCAACTGGAGTGCAGAACAGAAGAAAGTGAATGTCACTCCTATCTTCAAGGAGGGCAAGAAGGAAGCTAAGGAGTCTACAGGCTTGTAAACCTCACCTCTGTCCCTGAGAAGCTCCCGGAGATAATCCTCTGGGAAGCAATTTCCAAACTTGCTACGGAGAAGACGGTGATTAGGAATAGTCAGCAAGGATTTCTGAAGGGGTATTCACATCTGACCAACCTGCATAAAAGCTTTCTACAATGAAATTATTAGTTTGGTAAAAGAAGGGAGAGCAGCTGACGTGGTTTATCTTGAATTTAGTGAAGCTTTCAACAAAGTCCATAACAGTCTTACAGACAAACTGGTGAAGTCTAGACTAGCTAGGTGAATGATGAGGTGGATCAACTCCTTGACTTTTTCTAGCTCTAGTTACCATACCAGTGTCCCACAACAGAGACCTGGGCACCATGACACACAGCATAGTCATTCTGCACCAGACTTGGGAGAACCAAGCCTCATTCACAGCTGTCTGAGGCATTTTTATATTCTCCTTATTTATACAGCAGCATTACTATATCCACCTAAGAGCAAGGCCCCACTGAACACCAAAGTGATGCACAAATACATACGCAGCAGCACTTGACGGTTTTTCTAGAAAATAGAGGGAGAGAAAGTTCAGTGGACAACTCTGGTTTTCTGTCTTATAATGGGATGAATCATACTCTTAGACTCTTTCCACTGATAATAGAGGAAATACAGCTGATTACTTTAGAAGCAGCTTGTTAAATTTCAATGAACTTTAAAGATGACATACTTTTAGGCAACTCTGGTTAGTTGAGCCTGAATTCCATTCCAGGAGCATCTGTTCAGAGCAGCTTAGAGTAACAGAGTATGTCCATTCAGAGAAAGAAAAAACAAAGCCTAGGTTGCACCAGGCCAGAGGAGATTATGTATAGGAAAACTCAAAAAAAAATCTAGGTCTACAAAGACTCAGTAGCACCTTAACCACAGGATCATCTTTCCCCTAAGACATGTCTCTCTGCAAAGTTGTGCTGAATATTGTCAGTCCAGTTTTGCTTCAACTTAACCCCACTGAGACATCAGCTAGGCCTTGTTGACCTTCTGAGGAACTCTCAAAAGGTCTTAAGGGTTTGTACACCTCATGGATTTAGACAAAGATTTCTGGCAGAGCTGTGCTTTGAATTTTTGATACACCAGATCCTCAGATTCGAAATGAAACTGAATGTCCTTGTGGAGCCTGAAAGCAAAGACATTTCTCAAAAGACCGTAAACACCGATCTGTGTGCCTCTATGGTTATCACTGCTTTGGTATGGGAGAAGGGAAGATGCTTGTCAATGGGAATGGGAATGCAGTGTCCTCTGGTCCCCCTTCATGAGGATGTACCAGGAGGATAGAGAATTGCCTTCATGAAGTTTCTTTAGCAGCTACAGAAAACCAGGCTCATGTCAAACCACGATGACACTGCCAGCCTCTAGTTCAGGCTGTTTCAGTAGCTCAGTGCCACCAAATGTCCCACAGGCAGCTACCACACACATATAGATCCACTCTGCTCACCACGGGGCTCATGCTCTTTGCTGCCAGCAGCTGTAGATTTTCTCTGACTGGGAGGCTGGTGAGCACCATGGTAAAGGCCGTGTTTTTTTCTGGTGCTTTTCAGGACAAGAGTCAAGGCGATGTTTTTTTTTTTTTTTGCAACTCAGTGACAAAAGCAAAAAAAAAAACCCAACCAAAACCAAGCTATCAGATGTGTTGACTTGTGACATGCTGTCCCCACCACAAGGAGTGACTTGGCTGGTTGAGTGCAGGTGCCTGTTGTAGGTGAGCTCAGTCGGGTTTGATTCAGCTGCTTACACAGAGGTGTCTGCTGCTATTGAGGGTGCTTTGGGGTAATAGGGCTGTGAGATATGTCACCGGTTGTAGGAGAGACCCATGTTCAGTGGAAGTCCTCCAGGATACCCCAGGGGGTACCTCAGTGATGCTCAATGAGTAAAGGTCAGCAATTAAACTGCATTCCTGTGCCATAGACAGCTGAATTAAATTATTTGAATTGGGACCTGAATCCATATTCAGGACAGAAATACTTGGATTTCTGGGGGAGATGTCAGCATAGGACTGGTTGCTCTGTGTTGCCAGGGAGGCCAGATTAGAGTCATTCATCTGTTCTAGTCTCAGTCTGTCCCACTCTGTGAAATCTCTGAACATCCCGTGCTTCAGCTACTAAAGCAACTCTAGGATGATACTGGTGGCTTTGAAGAAAACCAGCAGACTTGTAATTGAAACCATTGAATGAAGGGAAGTGTCGCATAAGATTATACCAACCTGTATCTCTCCTTTCTTCCCTACTTTCTTTTTCTGTGCTTGTTTTATCTTCCACAACTCAATGATGTTTCTTCTTTGTTTCACTTTCATTTTTCAATCATTTCATATCCTTGTATATATAAACATGAAGGTAATATAGAGGATAAAGGACTCCATCACGTGTGTTACCACACAGGGACTGGGCCCCAGTGAGTCAGGTACAGTCTCTGAGCTGTTCAGGACCACTGGCTTGCAACTAGTGCCGGTTACAGAAAAGCCAGAAACACATTTATTCCTGTACTTCACCAGCTCTGCATGTGCTCTCTTGGCTGCTGTGATACAGCAAAGATAAAACTCCTTTGTAAGAGAGGAAGGTAGAAAAGCTTCCTGTGCTCTGCGCTGAGATCTCCGTTGGCTTCACCACACTGCAAGGCACGTTTTGGGCCACATATTGATTATGATCTTATCTGCTGTAGGTGATACACTTGCTGAGCTGGCATCTCTTGGAGTGAGAGAGCAGTTTAGACCCCAGTTGTGATATCTCACTTGGGTTTTAAGTCTCTGAGGTACAAATCCAATAGTCAAGGGAGAAGTATACTTACTTGCAGTACCCACTGTTTGGAGCTGTACTGGTAAACAGGGACTTTTGGTGATACCTCTCCACTGCAATATGTGCCTGGTAACCACAGGGTAAAGTCGTCTTTCCTGTCTGCATGGGCAGCCAAGAGAAGGGTGGGATGCAGGATGGTTCTTGGTCTTCCCTATGGGATAGGTAACCATATCCCTGGGCTGCATGCTGAGGAGCTGTGAGACCAGCCAACCTCCTCTGGAAGAACCTTGGAGGTCTTTCCAGGAGGGCTGAAATCAGGGCTGTAGCTCACTGGTGACTCCCACTCATCCCAACCTGTTTATCTGCCTGAGGTTTGGTTTGGTGCATGCCAACAAGTAGGAATTTGTGCATCTGTCGAGTAAAGCAGCAAGACTTGGATGGTGAGGACACTCAAAAGCTGAACTGAAGTAGGTGGTGCTGGAGGTCAGACCCTGATGTTTGCAGGTGTCATGCTCCTACAGCAGTGCTGTGATCCCATGGGGCTCCCAAACAGGATTGGGCTTTCAGCAAATGAATAACCAAACCTGGCAAAACCCCATCTCCTATGCCATAAAATGAACATTTTATGGAGGAGGGGAAAAGAAATAAAAAATAAAAAAAGCAAGCAGACAAGATGGGTACAGAGGTGCCAGGCAAAGGAGCATGTCTGTGAGTCCCTGGGCTCCAGCTCATTTCCGTGTGTGTGTGTGTTTGGCTTTCAGCCCTCACCGGCTCCTATCTCTCAATCGCTGGCCACCACAGGAAAACGCTTGCTGCTTACCACGTCACTCTCTGCACACCACAGGCACAGCTGGGAAGGTTTTCAGGCTGTGGCACTGCTGAGACACACAGCACACACGTTCATGGTGGCTTGTACCCACCTCTCCCTGTCTCCCTCCCCCCATCCTCAAGGGGTTTATTTGGTTTTTAAACTGAAGAAAGATTGCAGAGGGAAGCAGGCACTTCTTCTTGTGGTTAGAGTCAAAAGCCCTACAGTAAGCCTAACACCACATCTGCTCTAGCAGTTACTCAAATGTGCTCCTTTACAAATCACTTAACGTTTAGCTGCTTTAGCTACAACGAGACCACAGCTGGAGTGCAGAGAGCTCTGCCTCTGGTCAGAGAGGTGTTAAACCCTCTTGCTCTTCAGTTACTTAACCACATGAGGTGATTCAGCACCCTATTTCCCTAGTCTATGCTCTTGAGGTGTCCCTGCATTGGTGTCAAGCACAAAACACTGTGCCATTGAAAAGAAAACATCCCTATCAGTCATTTAAAGGGGCTTACTGCCAATCTTCAAATGCTTAGAAGTGCAATCTCTAGTCCAGATCAGGCCATACAGACTCCATCCATAGCATGTGGACAGTCAGGGCCTCTCAGGACTTGCCTGATCCAGCCTCGCTCAGGTGTCAGAAGAAGATGGCCTGAATCACCCCCTAGTAGTAACGAACCTCTGCACATCTGGCTCTGCAACCCCTTTGAGACACCAGACCCCATGTACCGCCACGTCACCTTCTGGCAGTGAAAAAGGAACATTTTACTCTCTTCTTGGATAATTTTGCACACCGCCAAATCCTTGGTTTAGGTACTCATCTGTGGAGTAGTTGCAGTTGTTCAAATGCTTGCTGATCCTGTGTATTTATGGGTTGAAATTCCCCCAGGGAACGTTCCCCAGAAAGCACGGAGCCATTTTAATGGCTTTTCTAAGCACCTCTGTTCTTTGCCCCTATTTAATTCCTTCAATGCCTATTTTCCAATTGTACACAACATTTTATTAAACTGTACAAACAGCACTGGCATTAAAAAAAAAAATAAATTCATGTTAACCGTTCTAATTAAACAGGATGACCAGCCGCACAAACGGTGAGCACAGATGCCCCCTGCGTTTCATACAGCACAAACAAGGATTTAATGAGAGTCACTGGACTGCAACCTTTTTCAGGGTGCTCCGCTTTTCTTGTCGACATTAGGCACTTCTGCTCTTGGTCCTGCAGGTTTCAGTGCCCGTAGTCACTGACAGCAATATCCCAGGACTGCCCACAAGGCTGTATTTGTCTTGTTGGGAGGTCCAAGTTGACAGCCTGGTCCAGCAGAGGCAGAGAGACCCCTCTGAAGGGAATCTGATTTGGGGAAGACTCACCTTCTAGATCTTCTCAATGGACTGGCGGGGTTGATACAACGAAGCTCCAAATGCATACACTTCAATTAAGAGTCCAACACCAACTTGGGTGACTCCCTAAGTCTAAGCTATTACAGAATCCTCTACTTGGGCTGTGAGTTAATTTTGACCCAGTATTTAACTGATATCTCAGTGGCAAGCAGTAACTGGGCAGTTCTACATCTCTCCAATCTCAGAAAACAGCGCTTCTTTATTTAAAGGATCCTGTGGTGAAAGGATCATCAAAAGACCTTTTTAAACTCATCTACATTTCCACAGACTGCAAAGGGATAGAACACACAGCAAAATGTCATGGGAGGACCACCCTCACCTGATATGCCGTCCTGCGCTGTGAGCGTTGGGTGCAGTTTGTTGGCCTACGTCCACCGTGCGTGCAAAGAGTTGGGATGTCATTTAGAGCAAGAGAAAGTATATCAACCTTTGCAAACACTGATTACTACCTTTCAAGTAAAATAGGCCTTTGTTGTGACTGGAAGGCCAGTTTGATAATGCAGTGGTTCGAGGAAACCTCTTCCACCTTTCTCATGCAGTTTTAGGATAAAACTCCAGAAAGCCCAGTCTGGATTTTGGCTCTGAGCCTGGTGTGTGTGAGGACAGTTAAAGCTTTAGAACAGAAGTTCTTGAGGCTTTCTGCTGGACTGCAGCTTCCCATCCTTCCTGCTCAAATACTAAGTGTAAACCACTGTTCTTCTGTATTGATCTTGATACTTGCCACGTCAATATTCCTCCTTCAGGGCTGAGTCCTTAACTGCAGCACCTCTGACTGAGGTGTAAAAATGCTGGAATAAGCACCTGCAAAATTTATTTGTCCCAGCAGATCAAAACTGAATCCTAACACCTGCAAAGATTATTTTTAAAGTGTGTAGGGAGTAAAACTGCTTCTTCAAAACTGTGCGCACATGCACAGTTCTGCACATGTACAAGTGGGGGATACCAAAGCATCCAGCCTGAAGCCTTCCCAGATACCCTCAGGCCTTGAGCAAACCACTTGACCTTCAGAAGAAGGTTGAGCCTAGGTGAGAATTGCAGAAGTGGGCACTGACATCCCCAGAAGCTCAAATACACTTTTCTTACAGAGAAACCCACTGGCTGTGTGTACAGTTGCGGGGAACAGCACTTCCTTATTTTCAGGTTCTCTCAACTTCAAGAACATTGGGAAAAGAGAGAAGAGAGACCAAAAGATACCACAAAGAAACTTCATCATTAATGAAGGGTGTCTGGCATCTGTTATGGACTGGAGTAAGCTGGAAGCCTCCAGGCATGGTACAAACTTTCACTGAGGTGTTTTTCTGGAGGGTTCTTGGTAAAAATAACCATGCACAGTCTTCAGTTGACAAAGTGTTTCTCAAACCATTACAGAGAACACCTTCAGTAAGGCAGATCTCAGGAAAATATTTTCTCCATTTTAGGGTTCACAAAAGAAAAGTTGCTGAACATATTTTGGTCCATGCTGTTAATCAGTGCTCTGTCAGCACAGGACAGTCTAGGTTTTTCATTTAGAAATTCCTTGTCGAAGTTGCTACAGTCACTCGGAGATTTCTTCAAGAAAAGGAAAAAAAAAATATTGATGTCAAGCCATTAATATTCAGATCTTCATTACAATGGTAGTGGCCCTATCAGGCTGCTTCCTATGAGCTCAGTTCAACTAGTTGGGAGCAAGCTCAGCTCAGCCAGGGAACCTGCAATGCATTTGCTCTTGGCCTTTGGCACAATGATGAGTTGCTCCAGCCCAAACCATGCACCATAACACATCAAACCACAGTGAACTTCTGTCTGAGCTCTTAATATCTAGCAACCAGTGCTAATCACTTGCTTATTGCCATCCTACTGAAGTAATAATGGGAATAAATATTATATAGGAGGTGCTGAGCCTGTGATCCATGAATTCTGCCAGGCAGGGATGGTACAGCTTTGTAACACGGCAGACTGGATCCATCAATTAAATAGCATTTGTGAAGGACTCTAAAATGAAAGTATGATGCACATGTCAAATTAAGTCATATTATTGTTATTAATATGACTGTAATAGCTTAATAGGACTGTTATTAATAGTCAGGACTATCCTCACTTAGCTGACCACCTGGTTGCCTGAAGTGCTTTGCCTTCTTTGACTTCTGCAGTGCATTGAACAACAATCCCTACAGCATGGGCTGTTCTTATGTGGTTAAGGGAAGGTGCTTTAAGTGGCATCTAGACCCCTGCTATGGTAACTGAGAAAGTGATGAGTAATTTATGGTTTCTCAGGTGTGGGCAGGCCAGACCTTGGCTTATAGTCACCACGAAGTAGTAGTCATGATGATCAGGCCAGGCGGCTCAGCCAGTAGATGTACATAGTTCTCAATTATCTTTCCAATAACCGTACAATGAGCGAAGCTGTGGTAGATCCAAGTTGTAGATGGTTTTAGCTGCTCGTATCAGACAGCCTGTGAACACTTTAATCTGTATTTGGACATTTAAATAAGAGTCAACACTTTCCATTATGACTGCCCGGGACCAAGGTCCTTCATCTACTTTTAGACAGAGAGACTACATGTGCAGAGCAACTCCAGGAGATAACCCTGAAAGCTTGAGGGCATTTGGAAAGCCTTCACATGGTGCCTAAAACTGTTAATTCCAGTATAAAGCATCTTTAAAATCCTGACTCCGTGAATTTATAACATTACTGTAGGTCCTGGCTTTGACTGATGGCTAGCATGTGCTAGAGGGTTTAAATTTATAATTCAGGAAAGGAAGACACGAGATGGGTGGATTTGAAAGAAGATGCATCCTTACCACTCTTGGTTTGAAAGGAGGCTCCATCCTTCTTTCTTCTAGCGCTTCCCAGTTTATTTCCCGGAAAAAGGCATGCTGGCGGATGTTCCCTCTGGCTCCCAGTCTCCTCTCAGGTTCTCTCACAAAAAGCTAGAATATTGAAGAAAGATAAATACTTTAGTCTTTCATCCATAGCTGTGTGTTCATTAGGACAGTCCTACCAGTTAGGGTCTCAAACTTCAAAGTCAAGCATGGTTGGTGAGAATATGAAAACTTTTCTATCTTACTACATCTCTGATTGCGGAACCAGTTCAGGTTTTTAGCCTAACTTGCCAAAACAGAGAGACCCTGGTCATATGTTCTCTTTGCAGGAGAGAGAGGACAATTTGTTACAGTGGAAACAACATATGTGTCTGAGCATCCAACTATGCAACTACACAGGTGAAATATCTGAATTGCACTTGTAAGCTTCTGTCTGGACAATTTCTTGTTATCAGAAAATTTTTTATGGTTGAAGTATAAGCGTAATTTGTGAAAATACTAGCTTAGCCTATGTGGGGTTGCATTCACCTCCTATACCTTTGGACACTTGGAGTGTCAGTATTTGACCCTCTATAATTAATAGGGAAAACCAGTCATCTTAGGTGCAAATCATCTGACCTCCTTTAGGTCCTTTGACACTTAAAGATGAGAAGAGACACCTGGAAGTGCTTGCTTCTCTCCACTGACTATCTCAGATGCTGACAAGCATCTATTTTTTGTCAAAACACTCCCAGTTCAGCTTGTGTTTGCTGCACACGGCAGTCTACAAGTCCTTTAGATGACTAATTCTGCTAAAGACAGGGAAAAGCTAGAAGTGGGGGAATATCTTTTAACCATCAGCTACACACATGTCTGAGCCCATTCTTCAGTTTAGTGTAAATATAGCCTTTGTCACAGAAGTTTTTATGGTGCTGCAGGAGCCATTTGGCTCTGGAAGAAGCTGAAATGTTTCCAAGGGAGAGTGTCAGGAGAGCTAAATGCTTCACAGGTCCTCTCAATGTTCCTGAGCAGGATGTAGTGCTGAAGGACTGCTATAATGGTGGCTGTGAATAGTTTAAAATTAATCTTTACATCTTCAGTAAAACATCTGGAGACTCCAGGCCAGCTGGCCCATAGAGCACGGGATCCTAGATCCCTCTAAAGTCAATGAAGAGGAATAGTGGCAACACTTGATAGCAGGTGACCCGAATACAGACAATATGTTCTACTTCAGAAGTAAGGGCAAATTTTCAAAAAGCATTTTACTGTTGGAGGTCATCTCAAAATGGACTTGGGTTACAGACGGTGGAGTTTTCTTGCTACTCTATTTGGCCAACGGCGAGCATACAAGAGATACTACTCAGCAAAGAACTAAAGCCAAAAGTGGCAGCAAAAAATTCTGATGTATTGAGGCCTGCTTGAAAAAAACCCCAGGAATTGGGTTTTGGTGAAAGCTGTGGGAAAAGCCTTACCAAGACTGAAGCATCCTGCAGACAACCGATTACACAGCAATGGAGATTCCACGGGTTAAATTCTGTGCTGATAATACAGACATTAAGTAGGGTGGAATATGTAATTACCCAGAGTCAGTGGCAATAAGAACAGCCCATACTGGAGAATTTTTTTTTTTTTCCTAAGCAAGGAAGTTTATTGATTAGTATAAAGATGATGATGATTATCTCTAATCCTGACAGAAGTACAGGTTGTTTGTACAGAAACATGGCAGCATATGTCTCAGGAATAGACATTCAAAATCTCAGTCTGCAATGGTATATCTTCCTGAACCACTGCTTTTGGTTGTTTTCATTATTATAATTTTATAGTTATACCTAAACATCTGAGCCTTGCCGTGCACAGCACAGATGCTAAAATAATCTCCTGTTCTCTGGTAGTGGAATGCTGTATGATGTCTGTCACTTCGTAAATGCAAAACTCAGGGTAGGGACTGTAGGTCAAATATGACCAAAATCACGTTAACTCACATCAAGCTGAGCTATTATAAGTCTCAGTACATGCTCTCTCACCTTGCTCCATCTTAAGTTAAAATGCCTTAGCTTAGATCCTGCTCAACATCAGTCCAAAGCCCAACTGAGGGGAGGTAACTTGTTAGATTTGTCGTGACTTCATTGCATAATTATCTTTCAACTCTAGAGTAATTTGCATCCCGAGACAGAAAGGCTACAATGCTAAATGGCATGGGGCTGAGAAGGAGCAATGAAAAAAATCACTGTTTGAATGGAAGGGAACCTAAAAGATGAGGAGGATGCCTGTTAGAGGGAAACAGGAGTGCTCTGCTTAGATAGGGCAGTAAGCATTGCTGTGTAAGAGATTCAAAATGCAAAAAATCCAGATGACATGGTGCTACTATCTTGAGCAGCCGCACCACTTCAGGACACAGCTCAGGCTTTGTTTTCCTGCTCTTTAGCTCAGTGAAAAGATGTAAAATATTCTCTACTGAAAATCAAGCCGAACACCAAACCAATCTACCCTAGATGTCCTCATAGCTCTGAGGCTCAAGAACTGCTTCAAAGCCATAATTATCAAGAAAGTCACTGTAACTCTTAGCTTGAAGTCTGGCAGAATATTTTTTCTAGGAGTTAACATGCCTTGCACCTTAGGGATTGCTCTGCAACGGAATTGATCTCTCTTGTTATCTGATACCCTGTGATCCTACTTAGGTTATGTGAGGAGCCATCATCACATCTCAGGAGAAAGAAGACACAAAAATGGCCTTGTGACTTAGGTCAGGTGTGCTTTGAGGTTCACAGACAAGAAAGTGGTCCTATCACACTATTTTTTTTTTTTTTTTCTCTGAACAACAGCCGACGATGTACAAATCAAAGATGACATTTCTGGCAAAAGGACTTTTGTTCAATGTGTGGCAATTTCTTACCTTCACCAAAATGTCTTTTGCATCCTTGTCGAGCCAGCGAGGGTAGAACGGGTTATCCATTCGGATAGACTGGAAAAGCTCCTCTTCATCTTGGCCATGGAAAGGAGATTGGCCAATAAGCATCTCATACAGGAGGACTCCGAAGGACCACCAGTCAACGGAGGTGTTGTACTTCTGCCCTAGCAATATCTGCCCAAAGAGAGGAGTGATAAAGACAGACGCAAAACATCTGACATGAGTATTTCAACTTCAGAAGGGTGCCCTGACCCTGATCTTTCAACAGCCACTGAGTGGGAAGCAGAGGTGCTTCCCCCTGCCTGCAGCACCAGCCAGAGCATCTGCCAGCGGTGCAGAGGTTGTGGTTTGAGGAGCTCCAAGTCACGGCCACGTCTGGGTGCCAGAACAGTCCTTTGCACTACAGGTAACAGGTTGCATGTAGCTCTTCAGTTACCAACAAACCCTTGGCTGCCAGAGAGATCTCAAACATAAAAAGTGAGGCAAGTGATCTGCCTGCTCTCCAAGTTATCCCAGGGGTTCAAATCAGGCTTGTGAAGTCCAAGAAGATAAATGGTTAGGCATTAGCATTTTGGGATTGATTTAACTCACAAGACTGTACTTTAAAATTACAAGAGTGGCAGTGTAAGGGTACTTTAGGACTATCAGTCAGTTGGAATAGTGTGAATCTATCCCAGCAAAATCTGCCCCAGGAAAAACTTTAGAAAGCAGTTGCTGGTTTGTATTCTTGAGACCTCTTGAGTTATAGGTAGAGGAATGGGAATTTGTCCTCGGTCAGTTCATTGGTTTGTGCCTTTCTGTGTCAGCTATAAAACGAAGGCTACACCCAGTGTGTGGGGGCCATCGAGGGTCGGCTGGAGTGATGACCTTCCCTAAGAAGGGATGTGGCATTTTCGTCCCCTACAAACTTGGTCAGAAACCACCAAGTTCTCAAATTTCCCCTCTGGGGAAGCAAAATGAATCTCACTTGCCTTTAGATATCTGTTATGGAGATACCCAGAGCTGAACCAGTTACCATTAGCTCCCTTTATAGTCAAGGAAAAGAATTAATCCTAATTTTAGACATCTGTCTTAATATTTACCTGCTGTGAAATAACCCTCTCTCTGGTTATCAAGGAGTCTAGACAGGCTCATATATCGATATTTACACTGCATATGTCTAAAGGTACATGTAATACCTATGATGTCTAGGATCCTTATCAGGATTTTAGAGATGAAGAGGGGAATAGCTCATTTTAAGGTACGACCTTTACTCTTGATCCCAGAGCTTGGTTGCAGTGTGATCCTCTATACCATAGAGATACCTACAATGTAGGTATCGATGACAAGACCTGGAGATGCCTTAAAACCAGTGAAAACATCTATCCAGACAATCAGTACATGCTGATAGTTGAAAAAATTATGATTTAGAGAGGTGATCCTTACTGCTGGTTCTGAGGTACAGCAGAAATGGGTAATTTGACTGTTTTCACACTTTGTCTTCACTGGTTGCAAATTGCCACTTGGGCCCAAATTCATCTTATTGCCTAAAAGTTATGTGTCTTATTAATTTAGTAATCCAGAGTCTCTCTATAACAGTGGAGGGAAAATGGTGATTTAACGGACTTACACACCTAAGATAGGAAGGAATGACTTGTCTTCTGGGTTGGCTGTCCTTCTACAACAGCATAAAGTGCCATCTAATGCTTCATTTTCAGGTGAATTTTCTCACAT